AGTATAGAGATCATGTGAAATTCCCAACTTCTGCATCTGCTCTGCCAGAGTGATAACAACATCAAACTTGTTCATCTTAGCAATGGCACTCAACAATTTATTGAACTCAACAATGGAAGGTAAAGGACGAGACTTGACCATGTCACCGAACAAATTAACAGCGTCGTCTAACTTCAAATCATTTCGTCTACTCAATTTCTCTCTGTAATCATAACTGTGACCAGAAAAAGCTCGTCTCCAACAAAGAGCAGGAGCGGTTCCAGGATTACCTTTCACCAGAGTGTGCCGCCGATGAAGAAATCTCATGCCCGTAATCGCAACATATCTCATCATCTTGCTACGAAATTGGCTCCCCCTTGAAATGAACTGAGACTACACTAGAGAGTCAGTGAAGAGATCAAACAGCAAAATCGCAGATTCCAATAAGCCCTATAATCGATAGCAGTCGGTCGGTTCAATGTCGATTCGGTTACAGCTGGTTTTCTTTAACCGGTCATTGCTCGCTTTTAAACCGGTTCTTTTCTTTTACTTTATTGAGCAACGGTCATATTCGAATCACTCCGGTCTAGATAAAACGGATAAAGAGTGAAGAAGTCCTTGGTTTGTTTAGTAGTGAGTGACTTTTACGCATATAACGCAGCGTTTTAATTACCACACAACTTCATCATATTCAAGCTAATGTGTTTGTGACCCTAAATGATGATGATAAAAAGGCAAAGCATAAATACTCATTTTTGCTTCATCTTGCTCAGAGGTTCCGAAGCCTTTTCAGATTCATCTAATGTGCACAATTAACCTTCAAGAACATCATCTGAAGTCAAGGCTTCTCCATTACCAGAATCCACCACATATCTTTACTGTTGAAGTAATCAATTTTCTCAGCTTCTCAAGTGAGAGTTCACCAGAGAGGAGTACAGAGAGACACACCAAAATCTACCAAAGGATTAAAAGTTAACAAAGCGCCACTAATTTTGTAAAACGACAAGCCACTTCAGTTCCGAGAAATCATTCAGAGTGCTTTTGATAGTGTGGTGGTGGTCAATCCTCCTGAATGAACTTTTTTATATGGCACCAATAGCCAGTTCCTGAACTTATAAAATCAGAGACATTCAGCTATATACCTTTAGCTGGCGTTGGAGGTGATGTAGGAAGCCATATTGTCTCACCAAACAATGATTTGGTTTCCTTTACCTGCAATCCATATCCAGCAAAGATACTTTCTCCAGGATAAAACTTGGCTTTAAGGACTCTCTGGTAAGAAGAGATATTGGATTCTGCAACATTCTCCAAATATTTTCCTTAACCACCAATCTTAGTGATTCCTGTTAACTGAATTATATATATGTTCGAAGATCAGAAAAAATGCAAAAAGTTGTTGCAGGTAATAAGCTAAGGAACATTTCACATATCCACTGATTGAAAATTCGTTTTTACCAATCTTACTTAACTGGAAATTTAAAAGTCATTTGAGTTTTATTCCTCTAAACTCAACAAAAGTGTCCAAAAGAGTTTCATTCCCTAAATTAATTAAGAATTTGGCTAATAAACTAAATCTATACCAAAACAATAATCACACCAAACCATGTCTGAGATCTTCTTGTAGGGAAGAGCTTCTTCTGATACTCATTATACTGATCTTGTACTAACATAACAATAAAATATCAGTCACCTTCATGAAACTTACATACAACAGCAATTAAACATACACACAAGTAACATGAGGACTGAGTTGAGAAGTAATCACGAGAAAGCAACAAAAATAACGTTTGGTTATTTTATATGAACCCAAAGGAACTAGAAATCTGCCTAAACAATCTCATTCAAATTAAGAATTATAAAAATACGTTTGGTTCAAAACCAAATAAACTCTCTGAGATCTTCTTGAAGGGAAGATCTTCTTCTGATGCTCACCATTGATCTTGTGTTAACCTAACAATAAAATACACAAAACAGCAACCAAATATACACACATTTAACATAAGGACTGTGTTGTATTACCACTTCTCCTCTCTCTAGGATAAACTGTTTTTAAGAAAGCATTTCCAGAAAGCTTTTGTCCAATCTCCCATCATGCAACATATTAGTGACCAAGCCAATGATTGAAGCATCTCCAGCAAACCCGCGACTCCTCATTTCTTCGATGAGTTCTGCTGATGCAGCTCTGCACTATCTCTAAGGCGCACCCTGATCAGCGTATTATAGGTACCGCTATCTGGAAGAGGCCCATCTTCTTTCATTTTTCTGAACAAGGCATCCGTTTCTTCCTTTAAACCTTTCCTACAAATTCCTGAGATCATTGTATTGAAAATTATAACATCAGGCTTCACTCCTTCTAGGCTGAGGCTACAAAATAAATTCCACCCTTCTTCCACCTTCCCAGACTCGACCATTTCACTAAACAGATCAACAACATCTTCTAACTTCAAATCATTTCTTCTACTCAATATCTCTCTGTAATCATAACTAGCACCAGCAAAAGCTCGTCTCCAGCAACACAAAGTTCCAGGTTTATCATTCATTTTGTTTCCTCTCATCTTTTATTTTTTCTTTTGTCGTCAAGTAGGATTGAGCTAATCTAAAGTGCGTCTCCTCTTCTCTCGAGGATAAACTGTTTTAAGAAAGCATGTCCAGAAAGTTTTTGTCCAATCTCCCATCATCCAGCATATTAGTCACCAAGCCAATGGTTGAAGCATCTCCTGCAAACCCGCAACTCCTCATCTCTTTGATGAGTTCAGCTGATGTTGCTTTGTCACCATCTCTAAGATGTGCCCTAATAAGCGTATTATAAGTACCACTATCTGGAAGAGGCCCATCTTCTTTCATTTTTTTGAACAAGGTATCTGCTTCCTCCTTTAAACCTTTCCAACAGAATCCTGAGATCATTGTACTGTAGGTTATAACATTAGGCTTCACTCCTTTAAGGCTGAGGCTACAAAATATATTCCACCCATCTTCCACCTTCCTTGCCTTGCACATCCCTTCAATCATAATATTATATGTGTAAATATTAGGTTTCATTTTACTCTTTTGCATATACTCGAATACCACCAATGCTTTCTCTAGCTTCCCATTTTTACAGAGTCCATCTAACAGAATGCTGTATGTCATAATATCTGGAGGCACACCATCAGAAACCATCACTTTGAATAGTTCTTGAGCCATATCACAATCTCCATCTTGAAATAACCCCTGGATAAGAGTGGTGTAGGTGACTGTGTTGCCAACCAATCCTCTTTGAGACATGTTCCGAAAGAGTTCCATACCATCCACCACTTTCTTAGCCTTACAAAAACCCTTTATGAGAGTAGTATATGTCACTACATTTGGGTAACAATCCTTGCTAACCATGAACTCAAACATCTGTTTGGCCTCGTCTACACGATCGTGCATACAAAACCCGTTGATCAATGAATTGTAAGTGATGACATTAGGATCTATAGACCTTTTGATCATCTCCTCGTACAATTTCTCAGCCTCTAAAAGCTTCCCCTCCTTCACAAACGCATCGATCAGTGCATTAAAAGTAACTACATCGGGGTTGATTCTCCTCTCGATCATATCGCTCAGCAGTCCAGAGGCATCACTCCATCTTCCGTAATTACAAAGGCAACTAATGAGGGAGCTGTAAGTAACAACATTTGGTCTAATTCCTTTGTTCTCCATTTCATTGAATAGGTTGCGTGCATCATTCACATGTTTGTATTTGCAGAGACCATCGATAACTGTGTTGTAGATTACAACATTTGGCTCTATTTTCCCTTTCTCCATCTTCTTCAACAAACTCAAAGCCAAATCAATATCACCTCTCTTACATAATCCATTTACTACCGCACCATATGTAACGAGATTTGGTTGACAGCCTTTCACAGCCATCCGATCAACTAGCGCCACTGCTTCTGAAGCTTTGTTGTGGAGAAAAAGACCATGAATCAAAGTTGTAAATGTGACGGTATTTGGTTGACATCCCATTTCGACCATTTGATCAACCAAAGCTACAGCCTCGGAAATCCTCTTACCGTGGCAGTACCCATTGAGCAGCGAAGAAAGCGTAACAATATCGGGCTCATACCCGAGTTTCATCATCTTGCCAAGAACAGCTAAAGCAAGAGGGATTTCAGAGCGGCGGCAGAAAGAGTTAATCAAAATATTGTAAGTATAGAGATCATGTGAAATTCCCAACTTTTGCATCTGCTCTGCCAGAGTGATAACAACATCAAACTTGTTCATCTTAGCAATGGCACTCAACAATTTACTGAACTCAACAATGGAAGGTAAAGGACGAGACTGTACCATAACACCGAACAAACCAATCGCATCATCTAACTTCATATCATTTCGTCTACTCAATTTCTCTCTGTAATCATAACTGTGGCCAGAAAAAGATCGTCCCGAGCAACGAAAATTAAAAACGGAAGCAGTTCTCCAGAAATTACCTTTCTCCAGAAATTGCCGATGCAGAAATCTCTTCCCCATCATCTCCTCACAATTTTTGCTTCAGAAATGAATCTCTCTTTAGAATTAAAACCCTAGAAATCTTCGTTTTTGGGAATTTGTTAAATTTGAATCAAAGTTGTTTACAAATCATCCGAATATATTTGAACCGGTTCGATTCGGTTCACAAAAATCTGGTTATTTAGAAACTTCTCCTTGAATGACCAATGGGATTTATTTTATTAATAATATGTAATTAACTCTCAAATTAAAGAGGTTTACCGTTTACTAAAGGTTTTTTTCTGATTTTTCTAATACATTTAAATTGTTAATTACTTATTGAGCAGCCAGAAACTTTCGATTCTCTCCGAACTGGTTTAATTGAACCATTCCGGTCTGCATTAACCGCTGCGTTTCACTTCCCACACAACCTCCAACAGAAAAATAGTGCAAGTTTACATTTGACCTAAACAATGAAACAACTGAGTTTTCTAATTACCCTCTTTTTCTCTTTACACTGATTTTTCTAATTACCCTCCAAAGATTCTACAAAAGGTTTCAAAAACTACTTAAAAAGAACAGCTTTTTTAAACCTCTAAACTACACCAAACTCCGGTTTGCAACTTAAATCTGCGTCAACCGGTCCTTACACGAGCTCGGATACACAACTACAGAATCTACACATAGCCCGCCTTTAGTATGCGTGCAATCAATCTGAGTCATGGAGAACTTAATCTTCGTCGATGAATTTTTAGATTTACCAACCACAAAGTCTCCAGCATGGTAATGACTCCAGTTTCCTGCTTCGGTTAACATACATTGAGATGAAGAATGTTGTCCATCTTCAGTCGAGAGTTGAAACCGAACCGGTTTGATGTTCCAGCCATGAACCTGTTCTGTATCACAAACCCTCCAACCAAACCGCTTGCCCGGTTTGCCTAGCTGAAGCCTGAAGTAAACACTGTAGGTTCCAGCTGGAAATGGGAAATCAATTTCTCCATCAACTTGAAACCACCAGATTTGTTGAACATATGCTACTGAAGAAAATCTGCAGGAATCAACAAAAAGGATATCGTCAAGTTAAGAATCATAGTAACGCAAAACACCAGTTAAAAGTTGGAATTTGTGTCCATTACAAACTTAATTCAATTAACAATGTTGCCTTTTTGGATCATAGCAAACATAATACACTAATTTTACAAACTGAGACAAGAAAACAGAGGACAATCAAAACTTTGAACAGAAGAAAAAAAAAAAGACTTGATCACATATGAAAACTATAGCATATGAAGAATTATAGCATCACAAAAATTAGATTAAAGTTAGGATTTCTATCCACTACAACCTCAAATCAACTAACAATGTCGCCTTTTTCGATCATAGCAAACATCATTCACTAATTGTACCAACGAATCTAACAAGAAAACAGAGGGAAAATATAAACTTTGCACAGAGACTACAAAAACCAAACTTTGAACACCCAAAATTAACACACACAAGCCATCATAAGCAACCAAAAAGGAACAACATAACAGATGAAAAGTGTGAAATCATCGGATCTAATGAAAACAAACTGATTTGGGTAAGAAACAGAGAGAGAAACACAATCTCACCGAGAATCATCAGTCTGAATATGACTCCAGTATCTCCGATCATCGATTCCGGTTATCGACAAGCCCTTTGCCGATATGCATAAACAGAGCCCACCTGTTCGTTTATCTACCCAAGCTTTCTGCAGAAAACATCAAAAACATTAGATTTCTTCTCTAATTTACAGGAATATTTTGCATATTATGAATTCATTTCCTAAAACCATTCATGCGAATCATTTAACAAAAAAAATCCCCAATTTTTTTTTCTGAAGAACCCTAAAAATTTTCTTGAAGCCAAAGAAATCCAAAAGGACGAACCTTGTTGCCCTCGTCGAAGGAATTAACTCGAGAGAGAAAAGTAAAGATGTCTCTTTTACGCAAATTTTCCGGGAAACCACCAAGGATTTTCTCGAGAATCAATCTATAATCTGGAGGAAGTTTCGATTCCCAAACGAAATCAGCCCAAGAAGCACCATGAAAAGCTTTGTTTAGCTTCGAGAATCTACAGATCTCAACCGGATCCAAATTCTGGAGAATCAAAGCCACACAACTTTCAGGCAAATCTCCTAAACCAGGCTGCAACAGATCTCGATCTCCATAACATGACGATAAACTATTGTGAAACAGAGAGAACCCTGAACCCATGGGGTTATCAAAACCCTGCAAAAATCCTTGATTGAAGAATCAAAAAGCTGTTTTTTTTTGTGCCTTGGATCTTCAGAGAAACAAAAAACAGAGAAATTTTGAAACTTTTGATTTGGGTTTCTTCTTTTTGACAAATCGTAACACAGAAACAAAGCAAAAAGGAAAAAAATGGAGAGAAGAAGGGTTTGGTGGCGACAGACACAAATGGTGTTGTAAGGATTCTCTGATTTATGGACGGTGACGCAAATGGGAGGGGATATGTGTATTATATATATATGCTTCAAACTCGAGGATCTATTTAATTAATAACTAAGTTAATATAAATAAATATATATAATTGAAAGTTTTTTTTCTTTCTGGTTGGCTTATTTTATGTGAAAAATCGTTGCAGTTTTATTGCTAAACCATGTATTTTTGTTTATTGTATTTGTTGTAGTATGAAAACAATCTGTTGGATTTTGGATTTTGTTTTATCTATTTTTGATCCTAAATTTGAAATAATTATTAGCCGTAGATTTGTTTTCGACATCCAAATGTTTGTACTCTATGAGTTGTAAGAATTAAGATATAACAATAAGACAAGTATACAACCATTCGTATTTATCCAAGTAATGATGAAATGACTAAGCATTTTAATACTTTTTTGTTTTGTAATTTGTAACTATTAGAAATAATAACTCTTTTTGTAAATGTGTCCAAAAAGTGAATCTTAGAGATATTTTTCTTATAATTGAATCAGAAATCTAGTATTTTTGAGAATTTTCATATATATTCAAAAAAAAAAACAAATTGGACAAACTAAATATTCACAAATATTGAATATTTCTTTTTTGTCTGCCATTTCTCAATATGAATCAATACCAATTCAATTTGCTCATATATCTTCAATAGTATTTGAGATTTTATTCTTTTTCATCTTAATTAATATACAATTTATATTAAAAGCCAGCATAGCTAGTGAAATAGAATATTAGGATACTTTTATTAACATAAATAAAACATTTATTTCTTTTCGTAACGCATAACTACAATGGAATATTTTACCTTATAAACTTCACATGGATTTTCCATGTTACTATCTTAACAACGCGTATATATAATAAAATATATACTTATAATCTTCACAAGGATTTTTTCATGCGTTACAAAATGAAACTGAAAATATTGGATTCTTTTCAGTTCAAATATTAGCCATCCAGTTCTTCGACATCCAAATGCATGTAATTTATGAGCTGTAAGAAGTCCACAACACTACAATCATTCATACTCCTCACAATAATAACTCTTTTTGTAAATATTAGTAATATTTCTATTTCTTAATTTATAGATTTCTTCATAATTTAAATCTTCACAATATTTCATTTTTTGTAATTATTTTATTTTTCCAACAATTATACATGTGCCATTTTCACAAACTAAACATTGCTTAATACTTATAAATCAATACCAATTCACTTTACTCAAATATATTCTTTTATCTTATTCAATATAGAATATATAGAAAAACTAAAACTAAATCTATTTTATTCAAATCTAGTTTGAGTATAATTTGTTTGAACGTCAATAATTTTTTTATCGGAAATTGTTATACCAAACAAACTTCGCACAAGTTTTCCGTGAGACATTAGTTTTTGCCAACACATAAAATTAATGAGATTTATACAACATAAAACGTTACATTGGATTTTCCTGCTATGTTTTTTATCAACAAATTTTTCAAATATCGTTTTTTTTTTTTTAAAGTCATGATTCGATATTCTTATTTAACTGTAATATTTGTAATAGCCTTTTAAGTCATCATTTTCACGACTATCAAGTCAGTCAAACCAAATTCTATGTGCCAAAACCTTAATTTTCATGAAGAGTTGGTCTATTTCCTAATATTTAATTTCATGAATAGTAAAAAAAAAAAAGTAGGATTTGCATTTGAACACACATGTATGATGCATGTATCTAAGATATGCTGAATCAAACAAATAATAAGCAAACCAAGAAAAAAAAGATGTATGGTAAGTTGGTAACATACGGGTATAAAGTCTTATTTGATCAACGGCCAACGCGCATATCAAGTCATCTCAACTTTTCTTGAGATGTATCACTAATTAAAAGTCTAAAATGTTGAGATGATGAGAGAATTGGAATGGGAAGAATATTAGTAGTCTCTCGTAATCATAAAAGTTGGGTTACGTAAATCTTTATAGATTACAATTCATGAATACTAAAAGACATGGTCAAAAACAAGAAGAGATGAATACAAGTAGACTTATTCAACGTATCTAGAGAGACGAAGAGACAAGTAAAAGAGAGCTTTTTCTTTTTCATCAAAAAAAAAAAGCTACAAGTAAAAGAGAACAATCGTGATATATGTACATGTAAAGAATCAAAAATTTTGATTTGAACATATATATCATTATATCAATATTAATCAATGTATTTGGTTTTTCAAAAACAAACGATCATTTATTCAATACTACATCTATGAGACACATAACAAAAACGTGTAAAGGTTTGCGAATTGGGTGGTTAGTTTTTTCGAACTTTCTAAAATAATGTATTCAACATCTTCGTACGTCCAATGATAATGTTTATGAAACTCTAAGGAATTATGATTAGAACGTAAGAACATATTACATTTCATTGTTTTCTATTGGTTGGGCAAATAATCCAAAGCCAAAGCACAATAAAGTGTCAGCACACAGATACAAACTCATACATTGTGCTATTAGCTGGCATCTTTGTTGTTGTTATTTACGGTTTGTACTCTTTCTTTCTTTGGTTATAATCTCGAGCAAATAAAAAGTTTATCATAACCTCCGGACCAAATGTATAAAAATGGGTGTCAATTTATTTGACCTAGAGAATGTCAAATAAAATAAACAACGCCATCCCCTGGTTATCGCCGAAAGTTGCAATTATTTCAACTAAAAGTATTCCACATCCATTACAAAGAAAGCATGTCATTGCACATAAACTACTACTATTAGTCTATTATGAAGATAAAGCTAACGATATAAACAAACACTAAAGAGATTTGTAATACGATAGAAAGAAAATAGTGAGAATTCATCGTACGTGTCATAAGGAAAAGTCGAACGTTCTCTTAAACTAAATATTTGCTTTAATTTATTTACTGAAAAATATCTTATAAACCATTATTTTATTCAGGTTTTTCTTCTGTCGACGAGATATTTTCATTTAGTGTTTTTTTTCTCTGTCGACCAGATATTTTATTTAGTCATGTGATAAGCTATCACTCATAGTGATAACTTGAAAAATCATAGGACCCCGACAATTATTTATCTCGGCTTCTTGACCAGTAGAAAATAGAAATATTGAATGATTGTAGACAGAATAAAAGAAAAAGACACGATCCATAGAAATAAAAAGATACAGTGAAATAATACGTACGCGTAGTTTACATGGGCCACGTGTGAAAGATGAGAATTGGAAACATGGCACGTGTGAATGTACGTGTCGCGGACGTGTAATGTGGACTTGTCCATGACGATGCGATTATACGACGCGGAATTAGACCCATACGTATCTCCCAAAATAATCTTATTTTAATCTAAGATCGAATTATCCAATTTTCTTAGGTTTTTGGTAGGTCAAAAGCACCAAAAACATTATTACTTAATAAGTTGTTAGATTTGACGAGGAACGAAATATCAATTGATCCGTTTATCAATTCTTTTAGTTTTTGGTTAATGTTGCATGGTCAAGCTTATGCTATAGCACGTAGCTTTACCATTTTTCTTAATGTTTGTTTACTACTAACTCGTAACATGCACAATGCATTTACATTCACTTATTGATTACATAAATATATCATATTTTATGCGTGGATACAAATTAATAAAGAGCATAAATACTAGTATATATACCAAAATATTAAACGTACGAAAAATTTGTTTTGATATTCAAAATAGAGTAACCCGACTCACATTGAATACGATACTAGTTTTCTAACAAATTACTGTGTTAATTTCATATAAAATTAGACAGATAAATTGGTAATTTAAGTTATGAGATTAAAAAATGGTGGTTACATATTATATATAACTAGTTTGAAATAATAGATAGTATTAAAACTTTTACACAAGTACATAACAGTCGACACTAATAGAGAGTAAACCAAAAAATAGTTGTCTGATTATAATAGTTCAGCTTGTATAAACGTTCCAGATTTGTTTTAGGAAATTTGGTTCGAATCATCCATGTCATTGTTGACCACCAAAAAAAAAAAAGACAATAAAACTGCTAAATATATACAATCATAATATTCAAAATTTTCTTCGAATGCTATATTATTTTTGGCCGAAAGGTTACGGAATGAATAAGCAACCAACCACGACCATGGAATATGATATTGAAAACGTCAAAAAAAAAACAAAAACTTGTATTAAAAGTTCAAATATTATTGAGAAGTTGGAATCCACTATTTATATAGTGATGTCCTGTGCAATTCTTTTCAATACTTGTATTATGATGCCATGCTCGTCTAATTAACTATACAATATACAGTCTTTTCGGTATTTTGGATAGGTAGGTACTAGGTATTCTATTAAAATCCATAATTAAAAAATTAATGTTTTAGCCGACCCAAGATAAAAATAACCCAACTTACTCTAAAGATGATAATGGTTTTAAATGTTCTTGTCAAAAAAAAAAAAAACAAGAACAGTGTCTTAATTAGTTCTAGTTAGGATACTTTTGACGAAATTGTATATATTAATGAACTTTTGAAATAAATTGTATATGTTTATAACTGTTCAGAAGGAAAATGAGTTTCGTATAAGTTCGAGTCCTTGTGTGTATTGGAAGTTTCGAACACGTAAAAATCTCTATAACCATTAATTATTATGTGTCTATTCTTGCTTAACAATGACTCTAGATTAGATAACAATTGATATGATTCTACATCTTTCAGATTTGATTTTATGTATTCATTATTTTCCTCTGACAACATTTATTCATAATAATTTGATGTTCTTTCTTTTTTGGGTTAACCTAGTGACCACAAAAATAATTTGAAATGTGGTTACCACTCAATAGTGAACTACTTTCCGACCAACCTCATTGTATGGTTCTCCATAAACCTTTTCATGCACCAATTGGTAAATTATGGGCAGAAAAAATATCACTAGTTGAAAATGTACAATCCAATTACCGAAAGTGACCCATAAGCGATAAGACTCGAGTTTAGACGACAAAATATCAGAATTAAACATCAGAACAACTGTAAAATACATAAGCAAATAAACATAAAAAAATAAAAATGAATGATAAAGACATTATCGGCGGAACATAGAAGAAGTACGTAGGAGACAAACCGCGTGCCACTTGTCCTTTGTTTTTTTTTTTCCTTATAGCATAAAACTATGTTCTTTTTTTTTTTGTCATCTGAATTATATTAATAAACCAAGTTGGAACCAAAGAAAATTACAGACGCCCAAAAGAGGGAAGCTAAAGCCGACGGACAACGAACTAGTCCCCGGAGTCAAAGCCGGAGGAAACGAAATTTCCCCGGAGTCAAAGCCCTATGGAAGGGAAACTAAAGATAAACGAGTCACCAAGCAAGAAATTTCAAACCAAAATCGAAAGTGGACAAACCCATAACCTAAGAACAGAAGCAAAAGGCATGAACCTTAAGAAACAAGCTAGAACTAAGAAAGCAAAAACCTCTTCTCCTTAAGAAATAAACAAGCATATATAAAACTATGTTCAAGTTGGTACCTTTTTATTGTTAAATTATAAAAAGAAATTGTACCTTTTTGAGGTTAGGATTTTAGCAAACTAATTTTTTTTTTTGCTTAAGATATATTTTACGAGTTTTATTTAATTTCACCTCAAAACAAATTCTAAATAGAATCTGTTAATGGTGATTGATTTGAAATCACTACTAGTCGACAAATACTTCCGTGCGTCTAAATTACAAAAAGAAAAATCTTCGAAAAGATAGATACTAGCTAGCTAGGGGTACAAATTAGGTTTATATCTACATAAACGAATCCTAAACAAAATCCGTCAATAGTGGTTGGTTTGAAGTCACTAGTAGTCTTATGTATACGATGTAATGTAAATAGAGAGTATTATTGAATTTTAGTGTTGTTGTATTATTGAATGGAAGGTTAGAACTTATATATAAGCACAACATAATTCAAGGGATTACATAGAATTATATAACTAATGTATATTAGAGTGATATGTGAGATTTGTGAGTAATCATAGGTGATATGATGATACTTTTTCCTTAATATGTAATATACATCGTTGTCAAGTGGTTTTTTTTTTTGTTAATCAATATAGTCATAATATAGTCACAACTCACAACAATCTACTATATATTTTCAATATTTATATTAAATTATATACTAGTTCTTTGAAAATGATGTTGATTGAGTTAAGAAAAAAATAGATCTTAGAAATAAAACTTTTATTGAAAAATTAAACGCGTACTTTAAAAAAAAAGAATTTGGTCATGGTCTTCAATAATTTTCAAGTATGATGGATATTTTCGTACTAATAAATAAGTGATCTTTCTAATTGACTTAATCAAAACTCTATCGAAAAAAAAAAAAAAAAAACTCTATCGAAAATGACTTGACGAGTCTTGGAAAAAAAATAATTCATTCATGCAAACTAGCCATGACTATTTTTCTTTTGCAACCGAGTCAGAAACTATCGCAAGATGATGATCTGATTGATACACAAAGTTTGGAAAAACTAATTCCAAAAACCAATAGTGGAGAATGAGAACTACTGGAGAGTAATGGGCCGACCTCATACAAGGCCCATAACAACAATCACATTTCTCTTACTGTTACAGTGATGGTTTTTATTTTCTTTCTCAAATAACATTTGTTGTTTTCAATATAAAAGAATATTTTCCTTCACAAAATTAATAAAGCAAAAATGTCACTAAACTTTCTATATTTGCAATAGATAAAAAAAAAAATACTTCACTTTTCTCATTGATAAAAAACATTTAAAAGCTCCAAGTTACATGTAAAAGACTCCAAGCTATTACAAAATATTTCTTCTAATCCTTACAATTTGTTTTTTTTTTTTATAAAAAATACCTACCCGCCCCAAATAATGAATGAAAGAATAATATCAATTTTTCCCCTATTTTCTTAATAAACAAATTAAAAAAAAAAACCATTTCCCCCGTAAATGTATATTTTAAAACTTTATTTTTCTTAAAACCCTAATTCCCTCCGATTCCGCCGATAGTCCAAGCCGAGATCGTGTAAAGTGGCTGCTCCGACCACCGTAAAGTAACTCCACCGCCGCGTCCGCCTTCACCTCCACCGTCTTCACCACTCCTCTCCACATTGAAAAACCCTTCATTATCACTTCCGTACATCCTAAGCAACATCTTGCTCTGCATAACCTCTCTCTCCGAGACTCCAAGACTCCGAAACCCTAGCTGCTCCAACATCCTCTTCCAATGACGAAAACTCACATGCCTCTCTTGTCTATGACTTCCTTCACAAGCAACAATGTTCCTGATCTCTCTCCCAAACAACATCTCCTCAATTTTGACTCTGATTAAGCTATCTGTAGCAAGATTCGTGTGAATCGCATCAAACATCGCTGAATAGTACTTTAACGAGTTACACACTCGCGTCTCTAGTTGCTCTGAGTTGTGTTCTGCTTCTTGTTCAGCAAGAACGAGTGCTATTGGGTTCGTGCTTCTGATTAAACCCAAAAAATCCCTAATTGCTGCTCCGGTGCCGTCGTAGAGTGTCTTGTGCATCTGCAAAACACAGTTCACAGCTACTGATTCACCTTCCTTGACGTGAAGCATCCATAGTCTAACGTCTTCGAGTCTATCAACTACAGGATGAAACTCGAATTGAAGATTCATGGCCTCTGCAAATCCGTGGAGGCGATCTCCGGTTTCGTTTAGCTCGAGTTTTGATTCTCCGATTCCAGTGATTCGTACATGGTGTGGTGGATTTGTTCTTGAAGCTAAGCTTTGGAAGAAGCTTGGCCATTGTAAACCTTGCTTGATGTCGAAGTCGATAATGTGAACTCTCTCTTTCCCTTCAAATGCTCTGAGTAACATCTCGTTGGCTGTAAAATGAATGAACTTTGGAATTGGGGTTACTTGATTCAAAAACCTCAATGCGTTTCCTGATTCATCCTCAACAGTTCTGTCGAATTCTCGAGGCGGTGCGATGTGGAAGATGTGAGGCCACATACGCGCGACTCTTAGCGCCAAAGCTTCAATGTAGTAAGCTATGAGGCGAGTCATTGGTGTTCTTCCTCTAGGAGAAGCAAGATCACCGGTTCTTGCAATGAAATGGTTAATCGCGGCGATGTTTCTTGATCTGATGGCTTCTAAACATCCCGTAAGCAAATTGACAAGCTCGAAATCCCTCTGCAAATCGTTCCTGTGATTGTTGTTGTTGTTGATGATGTTTCCGCTGGTCCTTTCCTCTGTTGCGCCGCGGTGTGTGTAAGGATTCCTTGAGCCATTTGTAGGTTCTGGGACTCTATGGCTTAAGCTACGACTCTCTGATGATGCGCTTGTCGATGATCCAGAAGCTTCCTTAACTGCAGCAGGAAGGCTACTCTCAACGTCCTTATCGCCTATACCAGCCAACTCCGTGATCACCGAATCAACCCAATTTGGTAAAGGCTGAGAAATGACTTCACTAGGCACAAAGCAAACCTTTTCCTCATCATCACCTGAACATGTCAAAGAAAAAGGTAATGCTGGTGAAGAAGAATCATGGCCAGTGAAATGCTCAAACCAGAAACCACCTTCGTTTTCGCATTTTGTCCTCTTCGCTCTGCTCAAACAAGACTCATCCTCCTCCGCCAATCTCTTCAAACTCTTCCCTCTGTTGTTGTTGTTGTTGTTGTCGTTGTTCCAAGAAAACCCTTCTCCATTTCCTCTTGTTGTTGCCAAAGGTGGAAGCTTTATGTTCTGCTTAAGCGAACAACCACTCGTCTTGCGCTCAACCGGTTTGTTGCTGTTGTTGTTGTTGCTGTTGTCAAGTGAGATGCTTCTTCCAAGTGGTCTGTTGGAAGGAGTTTCCTTGCGAGAGAAGCTACTGCTGCATGGTAAGTCCAATCTCTGTGTGTTCATGGGAAAATGTGCTGATACTGTTGCTGATGTTGCTGCTACTGCTTCACTCCTCAATCTTCGAGTCGGCGACAACAATGATGAACTTGAACAACCTGCCAACATCCTCTACAAAATCTACCCAACCCAATTTAAGAGATGGTCTAAAAGTGTGTGTGTGTGTTTGCTCAAACAACTAAAAAAATGGAATCCGATGAACAAAGATTCAAGAACAAAATCTTTTTTTTTTTGGTTTTTAATGAAATCAAAGTGAATCCTATATGAAGAAATAAAAAAGAATGATTTTTTTTTGGTGTAACTTAATAATATGCAAAAAATTGAAGAATGAAATGAATTTGAATCCCCTGCCCCCAAAAAGAACCAACGAATCTATATATTCAATAAAGAATGAAAGAATTATGGAACTAATCTAAAAACTTTTGTCAAATCAATCTACCATAAAACAATCATCGGATTCCTTAAACTTTATAAAAAACAAAATCTCATTTAGATGATAATGACGACCAACGAATTCACATCATCACGAACAGAGACTACTGAAGAACGACCTCGAAGTTGCTGGATAAACAGACTTGATAGTTGCTGTAAACCCGGTTCACCATTCCGGTTTTCCATTCCCGGTTTGCCAAAATCAAGAAACTCTCTTTCAAAACATCCAGAAACCCCCAAACCACAAGAACCCAGATCAGAAAACTCAAGATCAAGATCCAAAAACTCTCAAAGATTGTTCCTTTCTTCACTCTCTCTCTCTCACTCTCTCTGTTTCTCTCTCTCACTCACTCACTTTTGGTGTTTCTCTCTCTAACTCTCTACAGGGGTTAAGGGGTACTATACAGCTTCTACAAATACCATAGTTGAGGCAATTGTATTCTTGTTGGGTCTTCGAGAATTGAAGTTGGCGACTTTTCTTTTTACAGTAAATTGTTTTTTTTAGAGGTTGGGCAGAGTGAGTGGTACACGAGGAATCTTGATCTATCGGAGCCGTTGGATCTTTTAAATCAAACGGTAGAAAATTGGTGACCGTTTGTGAATTGTCGGAGAAATATGACCGTTGGGATGAATAAGAGTGTTGGGTGTGTACGGACATCAATGACTTCTGATTGGGAAAGCCAAAAACGACTTTTTTTTAATACACACACCAAAAAAGACATTACTATTTTATTTTTGTTTTTCGTCAACATGACATTATTATTGTTTTTAGAGTATGAGTGTATGACACATTCTCAGTAAAAAATGATCATTATACAAACCCAATAACTATTTAGGGTACTAATTTTATCTGTCTTTAATAAATATTGCCAGTTTTTTTTATATATATATGATTTATTGTTTATGATTTTTACAAGTTCTCTTAATCTTTTTCTGATTTATACCAATAATTTACATGTACTAATTTTCTACACAAAACTATCCCATAATTATAAATCAATACTAATTCAATTATCGTCAGTCAATGTTTTTTGAAGTTTACATATTTATAAAGCCTACAAAAAAAAAAAAAACAATATTCATGAAACATAACAAAAGTTATAAAAAAATAATACAAAACATCAATTTTTATTGGAACTTGTGTAAAATTGCGTTAACAAAAATGGGGAGTTTCTGGTCTATATTCTACTCCGGTAACAACGTGTATATACAACAAAACAAACACAAAAAGTAACAAATTTTAAAGAAAATACTAGATTCTTACACTGAAACTCTATGTTTAAGCCTATCTATTAGAAATAAATTAGATGATTTCTAAGAACAAAGCCTCTTGTTTGTTTACATGGCCAAATCTAATGGGCTTTTAACCTTTTTAATAAAGCGACGGGCAAAATGTGTTTCTTTTTTATTGGTCAAAATGTTGTCTAGTTTTGCTAAAATAAGAATATGAAATAGGGTAAATATAATTGGGAATTTTTGTAGAAGTATTATTTTAAATAAAATGGTAATGAATTAAGAATTCAAGACTTTTATAATGTCAAGTATGTTTTCTCCTTTTTTTTTTTTCATTCATTAACATTTGGTGGACCTTTTAGGTTAAACATCTTAAAACTTTATCTTAAGATATTTAGATAAGATTTTTTTTTTTTTTTTTTTTTTTTTTTTTTTTTTTTTTTTATAGATAAGATAGATTAACATCTTATTAAAACATTATCTTAAGATGTTTAGATAAGTATTTGGGGTTTAATGATTTTTCTAGGAAACACATACAAAATATGAGATGTGTACATAATCTACTCAATGACTCACTAGACTACAAATCGCTAAATCTATGTATAAAATCTAAACTTTACACAAAAAAATCATATATTAACATATATTAATGAATAATATAGATACACGTAGCACAAATATATATGTTGAATTGTTCGCTCATGTGCTTTGTAAAATTTTATCATGCTACAATATGGAGATGATATAATAGGATAAGAGCAATAAAGAACTTCTCATGAAAGTCTTTATCCAAAAAAAGAGAATAAACTTTGCATTAAAGCTAAAAAAAATTAAAAAATAAAGAATATAATTGGATATTAAAAGGATTGTTCTTAATTAAAAGATAGAAGGTACCTAATTCCTCACACGTTAACCATTCATTGTGGAACTCCCTTTGTATTATTAGTCTTGAATTAGATCATTCATTTCCTTTGAGTTTTAATAAAAAGTAAAAAAATTTGATTATGAGTGAATAAAGCACTTTTGAGATATTTATTGAACTTGCTAATCAAGTTGTTAAATGTGTATATATATAGGATGGTATGAATCCCTTATGCATCATCACAATTCTCTCTAGCTAGCTCTTATTCCTATTATTAAAAACTCAATAAGACACTAACTCTATATTTTTTTTTTCTTTTTCTTAAGATGGAATCTATTTTTACGGAGATAAATTCCAAAGCTAACAAAGCGAGGACGAATGTAGACTATTTCCATACAGCTTACATGAAAGCAACTAACACAGATTTGGGAGACGAAGCGTTTAAAGCCGTGACTAACCCGATTCTTTCACAAATGGAGCAAATCATCAACACAGCTAAACATGTTTCATATCGCTTGGAAGTTCTACGAAATGCAAATTCAGATCCTAATTTTCTTCGAGATCTTGACGAGGTAGACAGGATGGGGGATGATGTCTTCGAGAAATCAAAAACTGCGTTAGACATAATGCGAAAAGCGATAGTTGATGCAAAGGAAAGGAAGAAAGCAAGAGATGAAGCAATAAAGGAAGAAGAAGAAGCCCAAAAACGAGCAAAAGAAGAAGAATTAAAGAAGAAAGCAAAGAACGAAGCAGGAGAGAGCAGTTCACACTTGCAACGTAATTAAAAGTAAACAAAAAAAAGGGTTAATAAGCACATGAGTATTTAACGAAGCATAATATATGTATTTAGTGTTATCTTCAAAATTAAACACGATCAAGAAAATAAACATATGATTATTCTTTTCTATAATATTAAGTAATTATAGTATGTTACACTGAAAAAAATGTTAATCACACAAACACGAAACCGAAATGCATCAAACAAAAACCGAACAGAAATAGAGTTACATTAAACGAACCGAAAGCAAACCGACTTATAAATGGATTTACTATGGTTTCAGATCATTAACCGAAAACTCGAACCGGAACCAAACCTTAACCAGATTGCTACCTCTAAAGCCTAATATCAATACGTTGTCGTTTCGTCTGAGTCGTCTCTCTTCACTCGCCGGAGAGAGAGAAGAAAAAAAGACGACGGAGAAATGGCGGAGGAGCAGAAGAAGAAGCTATGTCGTTTCTGGATTTGGGCTTTATCTTCCGTTGCTTTCCGATTGATCTTGATCTCCTTCCCGGGAAATCTCAATCTCTCTTCTCGTCCGGAGGTCTCTACCCCTCTCACCAGCATTCGCCGCCGTATCTCCTTTCTCTCTATCTCATTACCTCATTAGCTCTCTAAGATCTCGAATTCAGCTAATATTTCTTCGTTTTGTATGAACATTTTCAGTTGCTGAAGGTTATTGGTTGAAGCAAGCATCAATGTCACCATACGCAGGTCTATCTTAAGATTTGATCCTCTGTAATTTTGAATTCTTAGGCTATTAGAAGCTGAAATTGTACTTGTGTTTGAGCAGGATCTATGTATCATGGCTCACCATTGTTGCTCTCGGTTCTTGGACCTCTCACAGTTCAGAGGTAGTGACTGTAATCGATTTGATATTAGGATTTGTTATTTGTTGAGCTTGAACCATATGAAAATTTGGAAGACAATTTGGTTGTTTGCAGGATTAAAGGGCAACCAAGTCATCTCTTTTCCAGGTACTTTTTGATGTCACTTCATTTCTGTGATCACATGTTGTCTCTTGCTTCTCAGATTTGAGCTGGTTTAAAATCATAGGTAGGATTAGACTGTGAGTTTAATAGATTTTGATAAGCTGTTTCTATATGGGGACAAGAGGTGTGAGTATGGAAAAGAGATGATCTTTCAATGTTTTACTATTCATCAAGAACTTTATAATCATGTCGTTGATACCAACCTTCTCTTGGATACAGCTTGGTTTTTGTTATTGCAGATATATTAAGTGCGATGCTTCTTCGAGGTATTGGTCAGAAACTTCAGATGGCTTATGGACTGAATGCGAGGCTACTTGGCTTTCTTAAGTCATCAAGGGATAGAGGTAAATTAAAGTCATTTGTAGAATCCAATGTATCATCTATCTTATTTCTACTCTTTTGATGAAACACAAATGTATTATCTGCTCATTGAGATTGAAGCAGAGATGAACTCTCTTTTCTTGTAACTATTTACTTGATGACAAAGATTTATCTCTCCCTTATCGTTGTCTCCCCAGTGATCCTACCTTGTGGTGATATTGCTGCTCTTGTGTATTTGTGGAATCCTTTCACGATAGTTTCTTGTGTGGGCTTATCAACTTCTCCCATCGAAAATCTGGCTGTCATACTGGCGCTTTTTGGAGCAGTTACCCGTAAGAAGATGATGATACATGCAAAAATGTGATTTTTCAATAGTTTCTCGACATTCTATAACTGATGTTTTCTACCCATGCAGGACGAGTTCCTCTGGCTGCATTTGGCTTAGTCATTGCCACCCATTTATCTCTTTATCCTGCTACTCTGACAATTCCAGTATGTATCATTTCTTATTTTATGTTTTTCACGTTTCTCAAATTAAACAAATTCTAATTGCTCATGTTTTCCCACAGATAATCTTTCTATTGGGATATGGTTTGGATGCTCCTCCTATTAAATTGTTCCTTCAGACCAGAAGTGTAGAAAATGAGGAGACTTCAACATCTACTGTTTCTAAACAAGCCAAGTTGAAACAGACAACGCGCATTCCTTTCTTATGGAAAACAGTCGCTCATTTCTTGTTCTGGGTACTTCTGTGGTCGCTCTATGTGTTGGTCTTATGTGCTTTATCACTGAATAAATATGGTGGGCTTGAGGAGATGTTCAAGAGGTATCCCCTAACTTAGAAACATTAATTATACCGCTATAGAATTAGTTTCCGTTAGCCATAAAGTCTCTATAACTTAGATTCCAACTCATATCATTATATATCAAGTACTTGCAACATAGTCGTTAGGCGTTTTGATATTTGTGTCTTTGCCTCCTATTGTAGGACGTATGGTTTCATTCTCAGTATTGAAGATCTTTCACCAAACATTGGAGTCTTTTGGTAAGTATAATAAGGTCATATCATTGGTGATGAATAAGGGATCCCTTTTTTTTTGAAAAGACTATTCACTGTTCGTTTTAAATCTTACTTTCAGGTACTTCTTTGCAGAAGTCTTCGACTTCTTCAGAAACTTTTTCCTGATAGTTTTCCACGTAAATATTCTGTTTATGTTACTGCCCTTAGCCATACGGTTGAAACATCGGCCATGCTTCCTAGCTTTCATATACTTAGCGATCTCCTCAATTCTTAAATCTTATCCTTCAGTAAGTAGTTGAATTCACTGTGAACTATATGTTATCTTTTTTTTTTTCTGAGGAATTTAATTCATAAATGCTAACAATGCTTTATATAATTCGACTTACTCTCACTAGGTCGGAGATTCGGCATTATACTTGAGCTTATGGGCATTGTTTGTCAATGAGTTAATAGGTAAAAGCAAAAACTTCACATTTTCTTTCGCATTGTTTAGCCTATGATATAAACTCTGCTTTTGTTTCGCATAGATATGAAGTTCTCGTTCTTCCTCTTCTGTGGATATCTCGGGATTTCTCTACTCAGCCCTGTGATGCACAATCTCTGGATATGGCGGGTAAGCGTCAAGTCAAATCCATCTTTACAACAGTTGCAACAAAATGTTCCAATGATTACAACTTCCTTTGATTTTTTCATGACAGGGAACCGGAAATGCAAATTTCTACTTTGGAAATGCTATAGGCTATGCGTGCTTTCAGGTAAAATATAGGCCCGGATCCATTTCAAAATTCATTATTCTATTCAGTATTTGGATTTTATATATTCATAGAGTACACAATTTGGTATCAACCGGAGAATGATGAGATCATCAGTTTTTGATCAAAGAATGTTGTAGTTTTGGGTTATCTTGACTAAAACCGGCTTATGGGTTTCTGCGGTTCTTTACAGATCGTTTTCGTGGTTGAGAGCGTAAGCGCAATGCTAAACCATGACAGGGCGCTGAAGAGATCTAACTCGAACCATCGAGAAGTCAAGAGCTAAGCCATTGAAGGTCATTGCGCCACTTTTCTATTACACGTAAAGAAAAGAGTTCGGTCTTTAGCTTAACTTTGGGCACATGTTGATCTGTGTGAGTCACTTTTCTTTGTTTGAGAACATCATATAAATGACAAATCTCCTGTGCCTTGCCATTAGAGTAACAATTAATTTGTACTTTCTACCGAGAGGTTTTAAAGTTCTTGCTTTGATCAGCAAAGCACACAATCATTATATTTTAAGTTAGATCGCATGTATATAAGGTATTGTTATTTGTGAATGGTGGAGTTTAAAGGCACCGTTTATGTCCCGTACTTTATCCTTATCCACTGCACCATTCAGGCCTATATGTAAATGACACACTCTGCAGGAAGGTTTTTGGGTGGTGTGTGGTCATTGTTTTCTTAAAGTCACCCATTCATCATAAATGATGAAGTGTGGTGCATTATTCATTTACTTGTAATATTAGAAAAACTTGTAAAACCCACGTGGTACCAAAAAAAGAAAGAATAATAATATGCTAGGAACCTTTATTTTGTTATCTCCACTAGTCATGACCAAAATCAACCCGTAACTGTATTTTGGACTGTAACCCCATTGTTTCTAAACCGTAGCCGGAACGTAATCGTATAAAACGGTTGAAAATATATGTTTTCGATCTTGTAATATCTGAAATCTCCTAAAAATTATGCATTATTGCATGAAGCTGATGTATGGCATGATGCAGATCTTGTTAGTAGATATTGTTTTGAGTACTTGCCTCCTCTCTATTTAAGGAGTCATCGTATGGTTGAAGAAACATCCAACAATTCGGTTTCTATTCTCTTATTTGTCTTTTTCCTTTGGAACTGTTTTATTTGGTTGTCAAAGAACACAAATAAAAAAAAAGTTATTAGAAACCCTCTTATATATAGTGATGTTGTGGACATTGTGCATTTTGGTTTCTCTACTTGTGACAAGCATCACAAGTTGGATTTACAATTGGAGGAACCCTAAATGTAGAGGGAAGCTTCCACCAGGTTCTATGGGCTTACCGCTTATTGGCGAGACGATCCATTTCATTAAACCTTACACAACTTCAGACATTCAACCTTTTATAAAAGAGAGGGTTAAGAAGTGAGTGTTTTCTTCTTTCTTGCATACTTGTATTTGTCTACAAACCACAGTTAAATCCTATTAATATTCATGGAGGTATGGGCCAATCTTCAAGACCAACCTTGTGGGGAAACCAATTATTGTAACAACAGACCCTGGTTTTAGTTATTTTGTGTTCCAACAAGAAGGTAGATGTTTCCAGTGTTGGTATCCTGACACTTTCACTGAGATCTTTGGAAAGCAGAATGTGGGATCATTACATGGGTTCATGCATAAGTATCTCAAGCACATGGTCTTGAGTCTCTTTGGCCATGAAAGTCTCAAGAAGATGCTTCCTGAAATTGAACAAAGTGCATGTAACAAGTTAGACCTCTGGTCAACTCAAAACTCAATTGAACTGAAAGATTCAGTGGCAAGCGTGAGTCTCAAGGAACATACTTTCCACATCTGTTTAAAACACTATTAACTTTCTGAATTGCTAACCTTATCACTTTCTTTTTATCAGTTGATATTTGATCTCACCGCGAAAAAGTTGATAAGCCATGATACAGAGAAGTCCTCAGAGAATCTAAGGGAATACTTTGTTGCGTTCATCCACGGTTTAATCTCCTTCCCTATTGACATCCCAGGGACAGCTTATCATAAGTGCCTAAAGGTGATAAATTAGCCACAATTTCATGGTGTCTCATTGTCTTGTAAAGCAATTCATACTACTCATGCTTACATATGGTGATGCAGGGTAGGGAAAGTGCGATGGAAATGTTGAGAAATATGCTTCAAGAGCGTTGTGAGAAGCCAAGGGAGAATCCGAGTGACTTCTTCGATTATGTCATCAAAGAGCTTAAGAAAGAAGGCACAATTCTGACAGAAGCAATTGCACTAGACTTGATGTTTGCCTTGCTTTTTGCTAGCTTCGAAACAACTTCTCTCTCTTTAACTTTAGCTATCAAGTTCCTCTCAGACAACCCTTCAGTCCTAAAACGTCTAACGGTCAGTAAATCGAAAAACAACCACTACTGTCTCTAACTCTAAGTAAGCTGATCATTGCCTAAAGTAAAAAAGTTTTCTAATCTTTATCAGGAAGAGCATCAGGCAATCCTGAGAAACCGTGAAGATGCTGACTCTGGACTTACATGGAAAGAATACAAATCAATGACTTACACATTTCATGTATATGATCAAGTATGTCAATATCCTAAAATTTATAATGTGTATTCTCATCTAACCAAATGTTAAATACTAACTTGCAGTTCATAAACGAAACAGTTAGACTAGCGAATATCGCTCCTGCAATCTTCAGGAAAACCTTGAGAGATATCAAGTATAAAAGTATGATCAACAAAGCAGAAACACCATTATACACTTAAATTGATTCCACTTTTTATATATAATAACTTTGTAAATGGTTGCAGATTATATTATTCCAGCCAATTGGGCGGTAATGGTATGTCCTCCAGCTATACATTTGAATCCAAACATCTATGAAGATCCTCTTGTCTTCAATCCATCTAGATGGGAAGTAAGTTCATCAATATCTTCTACTCTAAGTAACCTATAAAGTTTTCGTAACAAAAGCTAATCAAACTGGTGAAAATATAGGGATCAGAAACTACTAATGCATCGAAGAATTTCATGGCGTTTGGTGGCGGAATGCGATTCTGTATCGGAGCTGACTTCAGCAAAGTTCAAACTGCAGTATTCCTTCATAGCTTAGTCACAAAATACAGGTTTAATGAAACTACTCTTTTCTTTCATCTTTTAAGTTATGACAAATAATGGTTCTTGATTTTGTAATTTTGTTTCTTGGCTTTCATCAGACGGGAAGAAATTAGTGGAGGAAATATACTTCGAACTCCTGGATTGCAATTTCCAAATGGCTATCATGTTAAACTCAAGAAGAAAGAGATCTAGAGAAAGTTAGAAGAATTTGAAGCAAAGGAAGAACAATCTACAAGACGTAACATGCAAATATTAAATGTGTACTATAAACCAAATTAAAGGAATTTATTTCCAATTTAAGCTTATGTTTTTACTTTAATAAAATTGTTTACTATATATGTACTTAAAGATAGTTGAGAAGTATGGTTTTAAAATGTATAATACACACTCTTTTGTTTCTATCCCCTTTTACACAAGACGAATTTTGTAATGTACATATATAAGTAATCAAAGGCTAGAGAGATCAAAGAGATTTAATGTTAACATGAACACATATAAAAGCTTTTACTGTATGATTACGATGATCGTGATTAGCAGGTCCATTTAGAAGTTGGGAAACAGCTGAGGTAATGACACCATTTGCAATGTTTGTTCCCATTCTCTCCTTTGAAAAGCATCACTAATGCAACTGTTAACCCAACCACAAGTAGAACCACTGCGACTACAAACAGCGCGTACTGGTACATGCTATACTTGCGTTTGGTACGCGAAGTGTTGGTGCGGGAAGCTTCCCAACCGTACTGTGGTCGAACAAGGAGGACAAAACCGAGACAGAATCCGGTTAAAAACCCTCCAATGTGTGCAAAGTTGTCAACCCGAGGAAGCATGCCTAGTGCTAAGTTGATTGCGATGATGAACAGAAGCGTGATCAGAGCAGCCGCCTGCCAAAAGAAGCCGTTATATAAACCAAAACCGGACCTCAATGCGTAGACCAAAATGTGAAAGATTGATTGTTTAATCTGAGGAACCGAATTAAAAGCTCTCAACCAAACAGAATTATAAAAGATTTTTATTTGATTTCAGTTTACCCAAAACCATACGGTGAAAATCGGATCGTCAACTCCTAGTGTACAATGCTAAATTTCCGGTTAAGGCGCGTTTAGTGGAAAGGGCATAAAGTATACCTTGTTGGCGTAGATAGTCCAATTGGTGAGAAGTTCAGATAACATTGCTCCAAGAAGTCCGAAGAGAGCACCCGAAGCACCAACAGAAATACTTTCTTGAAGGAAAAGGGACGAAAGTATGCTTCCACCGAGACCCGATATTAAGTAGATCAGCCCGACTCTTACTGCATGGTAACATTCGCTCGATAAAGATCAAATGTTTTACTTGACAATTAAACAAAGAGTCTCAAAACTTGACTGAAAAAGAGTGTTTGTTCATAAAGGTAAAGACTTACTGAAGCCAAATTGCTGCTCAAGGCGGATACCGATGAAGATCAAACTCAACATATTTGTAAGAAGATGAATGATACCAGCGTGAAGCCACATACAAGAGAGAAGTCTCCATCCTTGATGTTCATGTACTACTTTCCTCCATTCCAATGCTCCCATTTTCTCCAATCTGATACAAGAATCCGAGTAAAAAACCCATCACTATAAATAATCATTCATAGAATCATAATTTCAAAATTTCCAATTGGATCCCACAAGTTGCTTAGTCCAAAACAAGACCAGAAAAGTCTTCAATTGGGTTTATCAATCAAGAAATCCTAACCAAGCTAAATACAAAATTTAAGAAGAAAAATGAAAACTTTGAGCTCGATTTCCAAAGAACAGACAATAGTGATCAGATTCAATTGCAAATTGGACTCCCCAAAGTTTGAGACTTTCGAGATACCCAGAAGATGAAACTTGAATCTCGAGCTTAAAGTAAAACTTACGTAGAAGAAGAAGGACCAAAGAGAGGATTCTCTTTAAGTGGTTGAAACGAGAATCTTCCAAGGAATCTAGCAACACACTCTTTGTTAGCTCCAGTGATTTTCTTAGGACAATCATTAACGAACATAACAGCAATAAACACAGCGAGATTCGCTACTACAATCGCCGGAATCAACCACGAAGTCCAATGAGTTTCACCGGAAGACTCATCGTAGAAATAGTTGTTATTAGCTCCTCTGTTTTTCTTCCCTCCTCTCTCCACATCTCTGTTCGCCATTACTCTGTTTCTCTATCTCTATCTCTGTTTCTTATCACAAAACCTCAGGAACTATGTGGTTGTTAAATAAAAATCGAAACTTGGATTAAACGGATCAAATACGAAATTCAGGAGAAGTAGCTTGAAAGAAAGAGGATTAGAAGGAAGAAGAGATTGAGACAGAGTATCAGTAATCTCGGAGAGAGAATTAGGGTAAAAAAGTTGTAACCTTTAAAAAAAAAAAAAAACGCTTTTTCACGAATTTTAACCGTTGAATTGATGTTGAAAAAGTTAGTGCGATTATTTATTTTATGGAATTCTATTAAATTATGTTCTATATCTTTATCGATGTGTGTAGTGTAGATTAATAAAAGTAAAGAAAGAGTTTTGGTGTTGTGTCAATGGCGAGTTAGGCGGTGGTGCCAGCTCCTCCTCTCCTTAGGTTTTACAAGTTTTTTTTTTCTGAGTGCACAAAAAAACAACTAAAACAGCGACAAAATTACAAAATATCAAACTTGAAAACAACAAAGAAAAGAAGATATTTTGTGAAAAGAAAAAAAGAGAAGATAAATCTTGTTTCTTCTATTTTTTTTTTGGCATTTAAGATAAAAACTTGTATATAAAGTAGTAGTATTATTATTATTTGTTATTTTGTTTTCAATCTGGTAAGGTATTTATTATTTAAATATTTTCTTAGAAGAAAAAACTATATATAGCAAAAGGTTCTATGGTTATTTTACTAAAAAAAAAATTTAGATTTAAAAAGTTATTAGTACTAAAAAAACATAAACGCGTTTTATAGCTTTTTCTTTTTTTCCTTTTTTTTTTGAAATGAAATTGGCTGCATCTTTTTTTTTATTTTTTTGTATGAATATAAAAAAATTTTCATCAAAACAAAACCATGCCTACAATATATGCATCTTTTGAAAGAAGTTGCATCCATATTAAACACAGAATCAAGTATATATATAAAATGGACTATTTAGCTAAAAGAAAGTTGGTAAGGAGCCCAATCACTTGCGGATCTAGGAATTTTTTTTAGGAGGGGCGATCGATATTTACAAAATATAAATATATTTTTATATAAAAAAAATCATATAGGTTTTGCCTTTTTTAATTATGATATATATATAATTTAAAATGTATATAAGAAAAATTAAAATGAATACAATATTTTTATTAACACATAAATATAATAGGAAGATTATTTTAAAAATCGTTAAAGTTTGAACGATTCAAAGAGTAATATTTAAAAATTTAGAGATTTTGAATTGGCATCTATTTGATTTGTACCAAAAAATAAAATTTTAAACGACTCTCAGAATTTGTATACTAACGTTTTAAATTTATTGTTTTATAGAAAACTCAAATATTTGGAGAAAAAACACAGAAAATATTATAAGAAATCAATTACCATATATATAAACCACCAAAATTATGGGAAATGACTTATTTTCCCAATAGTGCTCCTTTTAGCTAAATAGTCGAACCTTTTTTTTTTTGAATGTGCTAGTCGAACTAATTTTATTACACTGAGGAACAAATTCAAATGAAATTGAATCAAACAAAGGATTAACTCTCTAATGTCACTAACAATCGCTTGAATGTTATTGTCGGTCTTCAAGGAATTCATGATCAGGCCTTAAATGGACTTCGTTGCAGCATATTTCAATGGCGCATAAAATTTTATAGGTATAGGTAGAGTTGGAGAATTTTGAAGATTGGATGGAATATAATTTTGGTGATGCCTTTAGGGAACATTGTATGGTTTATGATCTTTTCATTTTTCCGCGCATCTAGAACATTGAAGTTTGTTACCATATCAATGAAATTAACAAATTAAATATTAAAATAAACTTTAAAGATGGTTATTACTATAAGTCTATAACCAAAAATTTTCTCACAAAAGAGTATGGAAGCCATGTGTCCAACGAAACTCGTGTTTAATGTTCTAAACCAATTTGCACTCACATTCATTTATCATTAAGACTTTGGTTTTGTTAACATTCGATTAGGAAAATGATAATATGACCAAACTTGTATTTGTATCTATGCATATACAAGTGGAACCAACTAGATAGATCTTTACAATTCAAGTTATAAATTGGTAAGGTCCACGCGGTTTCACCTTAATTAGAAAGAGACATGTAAACAATAAAAAAAATTAGACAAATATTATAGAACCAAATAGCGATTTTTTTTTTTTTTTTCATATTTAAAACCCAAAACAGAATTACATTATAAAACCAAACGGGTGATAAAAATTGTTAAAATTGGAAATGATAAGATGAAATCTTGACCGTCAAAATGATCCAACGGCGATACAAAAATGAATGAAATCAGTCACTCGCGAGTATCGCTCTCTGTTTGGGTTCATAGAACCAAAAGTTAGAACCTTTGCTCTCTCTTTCTCCAAAAGGTTCATCATTTAGGGTTTATACAAGTTTACAAAGAATAATTCTGAGTCACTGATTTAGAAAAAACCCCAATCAGATGAAGATGAGGAGATTGTTTGCGATTTCATCGACGGGAAACAGATTTGCTCATCGGAGTCTTCTCGGAAAAGGTAATCCTGGAACTGCTCCTCCTTCCTTTAGCCATTGCGTTTTCTGGGTACGAGCTTTCTCTGGTGGTAGTTATGATTACAGAGAGAAACTGAGTAGAAATGTGCTGAGTGATTTAAAATTAAATGAAGCTGTTGATCTGTTCAGTGACATGGTCAAGTCTCGTCCTTTCCCTTCCATTGTTGAGTTCAGTAAATTGTTGAGTGCTATTGCTAAGATGAAGAAGTTCGATGTTGTCATCTCTCTGGGCGAGCAGATGCAAAGCTTGGGAATTTCACATAATCTATACACATTCAATATTTTGATTAACTGTTTTTGCCGACGCTCTCAAATCTCTCTTGCTTTAGCAACACTTGGGAAGATGATGAAACTCGGTTATGAGCCTGATATTGTCACGCTTTCTTCTCTTCTCAACGGTTTCTGTCATGGTAAGAGGATTTCCGAGGCTGTAACTTTGGTTGATCAAATGGTCGAAATGGGATATCAACCTAATACCGTTACCTTTAACACTCTAATCCATGGACTTTTTCTCCACAACAAAGCTTCCGAAGCAGTGGCGCTAGTTGATCGGATGGCTGTGAAAGGCTGTCAACCAAATCTGGTTACATATGGTGCGGTAATTAATGGATTATGTAAGAGAGGTGATATTGATTTGGCTTTGAGTTTGTTGAAGAAGATGGAGAAAGGGAAAATAGAGCCAAATGTTGTAATCTACAACACAGTTATCGATAGTCTCTGCAAATACAAACATGTGAATGATGCACGCAACCTATTCAATGAAATGGAGAACAAAGGAATCAAACCAGATGTTGTTACTTACAGCTCCCTCATTAATTGCCTTTGTAATTACGGAAGATGGAGTGATGCCTCTCGACTGTTGAGCGATATGATCGAGAGGAGAATCAACCCAAATGTAGTTACTTTTAATGCACTGATCGATGCGTTTGTGAAGGAGGGGAAGCTTGTAGAGGCTGAGAAATTGTATGAGGAGATGATCAAAAGGTCTATAGATCCTGATAGTTTCACTTACAGTTCATTGATCAATGGGTTTTGTATGCACGATCGCTTAGAGGAGGCCAAACAGATGTTTGAGTTCATGGTTAGCAAGGACTGTTTCCCAACTGTAGTGACTTATACGACTCTTATAAATGGATTTTGCAAGTCTAAGAAGGTAGAAGATGGTATGGAACTATTCCGCGAGATGTCCCGAAGAGGATTGGTTGGAAACACAATCACATATAACACTCTTATCCAAGGGTTTTTTCAAGCTAGAGATTGTGATAATGCCCAAAAAGTATACAAAGAGATGGTTTCTGGTGGTGTGCCTCCCAGTATCATGACATACAATATTTTGTTAGATGGACTTTGTAATAACGGGAAGCTAGAGAAGGCATTGGTGGTATTCGAGTATATGCTAAAGAGTAAAATGGAACTTGATACTTACATATATACTACCATGATTGAAGGGATGTGCAAGGCTGGGAAGGTGGAAGATGGATGGGATCTATTTTGCAGCCTCGACCTTAGAGGAGTGAAGCCTGATGTTGTAACCTACACTTCAATGATCTCAGGATTTTGTAGGAAAGATTTAAAGGAGAAAGCAGATACCTTGTTCAAAACTATGAAAGAAGAAGGGCCTCTTCCAGATAGTGGTACTTATAATACACTTATTAGGGCGCATCTTAGAGATGGTGACAAAGCAGCATCAGCAGAACTCATCAAAGAGATGAGGAGTTGCGGGTTTGCTGGAGATGCTTCAACCATTAGCTTGGTGACAAATATGTTAAATGATGGGAGATTGGATAAAAGCTTTCTCAAGATGCTTTCTTAAAACAGTTTATCCTCGAGAGAAGAGGAGTGTGAGGTGAATCAAGTATTTATGTTGCTATACTCTGTTTACTTCTTAAGCTACATGTGTGTATTTGGTTGCTGTCGTGTGTAAGCTTCATGAAGATGACATATACTTTGCTTTGTGTATTTCATTGTTAGATTTACACGAGATCAATTGGTGAGCATCAGAACAAGATATCAGACTTGTCATTATTATGGTTTTACTGTAGTGGATTTGGTTATTAACCAAACGTATTTTATAATTCTTGTTTTGAATTATTGCCTTGACAATTTCTAGTTCCTTATGGTTCAAATAAATAACTTGATTTCGTTTCTTATTCCCAGACTCTGTTTTCTATATACATATTTTTTTTGGATTTTTGCTTCTTATATAAATCGAAATTCAAACTAAAACTGATTTTTTTCTGGTTTTTATTTTGGTGGTAATTTTTAAACCGGTAATAACCAGTTTTTTTCTATCTAAATTTGCTGTCCTGTGCATTGGGATGTTTTGAGCTGTCAAGGAGAATCAAATCTACTAAAAATCAGTTATATATATAGGAGTGAACCATGTTTCAGGGGATATGTTCACAGAAATTCCAAAAGGAGATGCTATCTTCATGAAAGTAAGTTTATATATATTTCTTTTTTATTGAAAAGCTTTACCAATAACAAATACTATCTTCATTGATTTTTTCACACATTTAAAAGTGTTTAAGTTTTCTTA